CGGGCTCTCGGGGCCCTCCACGGGCCCCGGGACGGTCAGAAAACGACTCAGGATGAAAAGCTGGTCCTTGGGGAATGCTCCAGGGTCCAGGACCCGTTTGCCTCGGGACCCGTTTCCCCCATGCTAAATAGTTTGGCGAGTTGAGGGGAGGGATGGAGGACATGCAGCACAGGCAGCAAAGGGAGCACGAGCGGCTTGCGCCGCAGCGATTTACCCCGCTGGTTGCAGCCCCAGAAAAGCCATACCTAGTTGAGGGAACGCCCACCCAGACAAGTCGACTGAGGAAATCTGCACGGGCTCACTCAACATGTACATTCGAGTGTGCCGGTGCATTCCCCAGTCGTTTTCGCTCATGGACGTGCGTTTCGCCGGTTACGTTCCGTTGTTTGGACGTCGATTATCTACCCGCTGGGGTACACTCGGAATACGGAGCCGTGCGCACGTGGAGTGCCCCTGGCAGCTTTCACGAAAGGCCGTTTTGCTATACGTAGCTGGCTCTCTCCACCCCCACGTCAGCGGACGAAGTTCTGAGACTCGGGGGCCCCGAGACCCAGACCCCATCGCTTCGTGAAGCGGACCAGACGAGAGGTTGTTTGCAATCTTCGGCTTCTGGGGGCACTCACAGGGCACCAGGACCATCAAGAAGTTACTCCGACAGTAGGACCTGCATGATAATATTCTCGGTTAGCGAGTCTGGAAGTGAGCCTCAGCATCGTTCCTGTGATTGCGGAGGCTCTCTTCCTGCCTCTTCTGCTCCATTCTCAGTCGTCTCCCATCGTAGCGCAGACCCTCCTCCCGCCCCCCTGCTGTGCCTCCTCTTTTTCGCCCTCCTGCCTTCCCGCCCCCGTCAAACGTGATTTGCTCGTCAGATCCATGAGAAATGCGTAGAAAGTTCGTAGATTTAAGAACATCCTACGTATGACTCGACGAGAAAATCAAGTTTGGGGTACACCAACCCTTCAATCGATCCCCTACTCGAAGGGGGCGGGAGGGGGGAGGCAAGCTAGGTGCGCTCGCGTCATATCTGACGTCCTACCCCTCCCTCCCATCCTTTACCATTGCGTAGATCTCCTTTCTATTCGCACAATCGGAGATCGCAAATGGCATAGCATCACACGGTATAGTATGGTGTTGAAGATCAACGCGTAGCATGACATAGCATGACGTGGCGACGCCCCAAAGTGGGGGGGCTTCTGCGGCCCAAACCATCAACGAATCGACACCGAATGTGTAATCATTTCCGATGTTTTTTGTCGGGGGGGGATTTTTTCGATTTGGGTGCATACTTGGAAGGACCGAAAACCATGCCGTGGCATGGCACTGGAAATAATGACGCCAGCGCTACAGCGGGAGCACGATTCGGAACGAGCGGAAGCGCGGAAATGAGGCCAGCGCTTCAGCGGGAGCACGATTCGGAACGAGCGGTAGCCCGAACATGAGGCCAGCGCTTCAGCGAGAGCAGCATTTTGAAACAAAAAAAACTCCCCAGAATCCTGTGCGACAAAAACGGTACGCGGAGGGGGGCCAGACATTCCCCGGACGCCACCAGGGGAAAGGGGAGAGTAGTATTCAGATTGCTGAATTGTGGAGGAGAGGGGAGCCCGCGGGGGGGGCCTCGCGCCCGCGCGTATCCGTGTTTGCTTCGGGGCCCCACCCCCTGCAGCGCCGAAGGAGGGGCCGCCGCCGCCGCCGGGCGGCGCGCGGCGCCCCGCCCCCGGCGGCTCCCAGTCCGCGCGGGCCGCCGCGCTGCTGCGGACCCGCGGGGGCGAGGCCGGAGGAAGAAGACCCCTGGTCCGTGCGCACCGCCCGGGGGGGCGACGTAACCTTGGGCGCGCGGCCGGCGCGAGGCACGCCTGGCGCACCGTCAGGGACTTCAGGCTCAGCGCGTCGCGAACGCCAGGTCGGGCCCACCACGAGAGCGTTTTTCCCCTTCCCGGGGTGACGCTCGCTGCCCAGGCGAGTGCCCCACCCACCCCCCCGGGGAAGCCTCGCGATCTTACTGGGTGGCGTGGTTGGAGGGCCTGGACCCCCCCTCCCCCACATGCTGTGGTGCACTCAGACGATCGATGCGCTGGTGGCGCGGACGCACCCTGGCGTGTGCACGCCACGGCCGCCGTTACCGGTACCCTCCCGCCCGACCCCCCCCCGCCCTTCCCTGGTAACGACCGTTACCCGGGAGAGAAAAATCTGCCGCCACGCTTCGGCGCGGCATCCTATCCCCTGCCCAGTCCCCGTGCGCCAGCGTCTCAAGTTCTTCCCAGGCTCCCGGGGCCGCGGCGCGGAGCGGCGCGCCGTCCGCTCGCAAGGCACGGCGTGTCGCTGGGGCCTCCGCGGCGTCACGCGAAGCAGAAGTTTGCCACCGTAGCACCTCGCGGTCGCGGACAAGAGCCAGGGGGCGGGGAGGTGGCGTCGGTGCTGCGCGGCTCGAGCAAGGTTAGTGAAACCCGCCGCAGGCGCCGGCTCTTGACAAGTAGCGCAACGAGCTCGCCGCAGGCGCCGATGTTTGGCCAACGCATTGTGGGTGGGTCGCGAAGTGGGTCGCGGATTGGGATTGCGGGTAGGTCGTGGGTGGGTCGCTGGGGGGACGACGACGACGGCGACGGCGACAAGCACAACAATAATCAATTTAAGATTGTTCGCTCTTGCCTGCTCGCATGTCATTCAAAATGTATATCCCCCAACCTCGTTGCCCGCCTCTCATACCCGCCCATCGTTACCTGCCGCGTGTACTTAGCTCAGGCCCTAAGACATGGTAAGGGAAGGGACAAGGGGGAGGGAGAAGGATGGAGCGCGAGAGATATTAGCAGGAGGGGGGTCAGGAAAAGTAAAACAAGCGGCAGAACCAGACGGGCGTGTCGGTCGGGTTGACGCAAATGTGCGGGTCGGACGGGCGAGCCCAGACCACCGGCTAGAGCGGGCGGGTCGTTGAAGCGTGAGTTCTGCATGAATCGCGAGGAAGATTCGAGCGATAGCACGATTCTCAAGTAAATCGTCAGGAAGTCCCGAGCGAGAGCGTGAGTCCTGATCCTGAGTGTCGAGGGCGCGGCGTTGAAATAAATGGCTAAGAAATCCCACGCGAGAGCGCGATTCCTGGATAGGCTGTGACGACGCCCCGCGCGAAAACGCGATGTTGAATACACTGTGAGGAAGTATCAGGAGGAGCCGTTGTTGTAATTCGGGGAACAAGGGAGTCTGAGCCTCAAGACCTTCCCTTGTAAAACATGGGGCTTGAGCTCCAGCTGGGGCATTTCAATTAAAAAATGCGGTGCACCCGAGTGGAGGCACGTACAAACATGTTTTTTTAAAAGTGAGAGCCTCAAGCAAGAAACACGCATAAACCGGGCCATGTAATCCCACTTCACCAACGCACCAAGGGATTGCGTAAGTCCGTTCGGCCCGATCCCTCTGATATCCAGGCCCTCTTGTGACCCATTCGTGTCCATATTGACCTCCAGGGTCAATTTTTCGATCCGATCGGTCCGATTTGATGCCGAGACTGGTGGTAGGCCCGATCCAATTAGATTGCGGCATTCTGCGGATCCGGTACTGCCTCAAAGTTTGCATGGTGTTGTGGTTCATCCTAGCACAGCCGATCCGATTCCATTTCGACTCCATCCCGATGGGGAACGATCTGACGTACGTTCCGATTCGTTGCGACTCCTTCCTGCGGAGATGCTGGCTGCTCCTGCCCAGACATCCGCTGTCCTTTTTTGCAGCAGCGGGGTCCCAGGAAGCCCCGACCTTCTCACCCCAGGGCCAGTTCTTCCTCGCGAGTGGTGGCCTGACGGCCTCGGGGCCTGGGGCGGCCCCCCCGGTGCCAGAAGTGGAGGAGAGGCCCCGCCCTGAGTTTTCAATACGTCCGCCCCTTGAGGAGGAGGAGGAGGAGGAGGAGGAGGAGGAGGAGGAGGAGGAGGAGGAGGGAGGAGGAGGGGAGAGGAGGAGGGAGGAGGAGGAGGAGGAGGAGGAGGAGGAGGAGGGAGGAGGAGGAGGAAGAGGAGAGGGACGAGGAGGAGGAGGAGGAGGAGGAGGAGGAGGAGGCTGAGGAGGGAGGAGGGAGGGGTCTCAGGACATCGGCTCCCCAGGCGATGGGTGGAGACCCCCCCCCCCGCCCCGCACGAGGGGCCCGGCCTCAGCGGCCCGGCGGCCGCGCCTGGGGCCTCCAGCGGCCTCGCCGGGGAGGCCTCCGTGCTGCCTCCTCACGATTAGGATCGATCGTCTCGGGGGGGCAAAGAGGGGGGGCGACGACAAGAGGGGGGGGGGGTATCATGGCGGGGGTCACGATATCTCCCCAGGTATCATTCATCGGGCGTGTTCCACTACTCGCAAAGTGCTTACTCGCAAACGTCCGAAAAACACGTGTCCGCTTTGATGTAATTTATCGTAGATCCTCCGGGGGGGGGATCCAGGCCATTTGCGAGTAGTCACTTTGCGAGTAGTGGAACGCGCTCGTCTATTCATGGCGCCCCCCTGCTTACTTCAATACGTTCCCCCGCCCCCCCTCCTTGGGCCGCGCGCACGCCGCCGGCCATGATTTGCGCCCCCCCCCTCTCGGACGCCCCCCTCTTGGCCGCCTCCAAAAATCACGGAAGTTCCCGCTCGTCCTGAATTGAATGTACATCGTCGAATCGCGTCCAAGAGCGCGAATTGGCGCCCAAAAGCGCCCAGCAGCACCGGATAGCGATCGAGAAGCTCACAGCAGCGCCCAAGAGCGCCACGTGAGGGAGAGATGCCGTAGGTCCGCTCTGCGCGTGATTGGGTGCGCTGCCTGGCGCCATGGGGACGACCAGAAGCTTCCGTGAGTTTCGGGCCGGGCGAAAGGGGGGGATTGGGAAAGGGGGGGTACGAAATTTGCTGCATGCAGCTGGTTTCGGCCTCACCGAGGGGCTCACTCCTCGATACATGGCCGCCTCCGGCGCCGGGAGGCGCCGGGAAAATCAGCTGCGTGAGCTGATTCTCAAACCCCCCCCTTTGCTATCCCCCCCTTTCGCCCGACCCGAGAGTTGCTGTCGAATCGTTGAACCTTTTCCCGTCCCTGCTGGGCCATGGTAGTTCAGCCCCACCGGCCCGCCTTCCTGGGTGGGGGCAGGCCCCGCGAAGCCCGAAGGAACAGACATGCATCCCCACCTATCGGGGGCGGACAGAACCCCCAACAGTGACACGTCGATTAGTGAATTGTCCGTCTTCGGTTCTCGAGAGGGCGCCGTGGCCGTTATTTTCCAGGCTTGCGCCCGCCAGGTTTGGGCCTCAGGTCGTTTTCACTAAACCACGCTTTACTCAAGGGGTGTCTGTCCATCCCCGAACCTAGGTGGGCAGGTCGGCCAGTGGGGCCAAGGCCACGCCAGTGGAGATAGGGATCGGTCGAACGGTGCCCACAGGCAAGGCTCCTGAAGAAGCGGGTCCTGTATGTAGGTTTTGCGCCGCTTTCGGCCCTGGGGGCCCTCCACGGAGCCCTAGACTGTCAAAAACGACTGAGGATGAAAAGCTGGTCTCGGGGTCCAGGACGCGCTTCATTCAAACTGCTATAGCCAACCCAGACCTTCTCTCGTCGTAGGGCGTTTCAGAATGGATCTAGCGTTCGGCGCATCGTCGCCAAGGTCGGAGGCGGGCGGAAGGGCGGCAGAAGCTGGCGAAGGTAAAGCGGCGGCGGGATCCGCCGGCGGAAGGCTGGCGGCATGCAGCGGAAGTAAAAGCGAGATGTCAGCATGTTCGGTTTCAGGGTTTCGGCAATCGCCGTCGTGAAAAACCTAATCTGACTTGTCAGGGTTCTTGTTCAAACGGTTGGGCGGATTCGGGGGAAAGCAAGCAATACGGCCAGCAGGGGTGCGAGCAGCTGGGGGAGCCGCAGCCATTATACCCCATCTGGCCAGGAGACCCAGAAAATCCAGAAGGAAAAACATCATGCTTTGAGTTGCCGCGGGCTCAAGAAAAATGCGACGGATTGTGTTCGCCGAGTTTCGTTCACTGGGTGCCCTAAACGAGGTCTTGGGGCCGTAAATGAACGGCCTGGACCTCGCAGGGGTCCTCGCGGGGCCCCAATTCGGGGTCTTCTGTATTCGAAACCGATGCAGTTCTCAGCGACGCAAAGCACAGCAATGCAAAGCCATTGCTTGGTTCTGCCTGCTTGGCATTGCCTTGCATTGCTGGGCGTTGATTGGCATTGCTCAGCATTGCTTGGCCTGGCTTGGCATAAATTTGGCCGAGGGAAGGCAGCAAGGAACCACGACCAAGGAACTCGAGGAAGGCTGCGACAAATCAAGACCACTGATCCTGGGTGATACCAGGCGCCGCACATGCAAGGAGCCAGCACTAAAGAACACGACCAACGCCGAGTGTCGCCAACGCAAGGAAACAGGACCAAGGAACCCAAGCAACGCCTCGGAATCGGGGTTTCGCACCCACCCGTCACCTTTAACAGAGCCAGCAGGAACCCGCTAGACAAAACCCAATTGGCGGAAGTCCCAGGCATCCCCCCCTCCCCCAGAGTTGGCTTTTCTGTTTGCTGACGGGCCCGAGCCCCGATGAAACCAGCTTCCGGAGGCCAGACAGGGCGACAAAGTCGGGGGCGTCGAAGACAGGGGCGAGGATCATATAGGCGGGAGGTGGACATCATGGCTGGCGCCATGAGGTCTCGCCGATCCTATGGCCCCCTCGTTTTTTTTTCCTGGCTGTTCTTTCAGCGCGTCCCCTGCCCGCCCCTCGTCCGCGCACGCGCCTCGGACCACCGGGCGGCGCCCTCCCGAGACCGGGGTGCTGCAACTCCTTCACCACACGCGTTTTCGTTGGGCCCCGGGCCCATCGCAGATCGGTCCAGCTTGAAACATGGAGCAGGGTTCGCCTGACACCCCCCTTCGGCGCACCCTAGCAGACCGTTCTCCTCGATGTTGTCCGAGGTGCCAGACGTCTGTGACCACGACGTCAGAGGTCTGGGAAGGCCTCTGCTCCCCAGACCACTGGATACCAGATGTGTTCGCCTGCGATTGGCAGCGACCGATCGGCACTCCTAATCGAATGCGATCGATCGCGACAGACTCAAAATTCAGTCGCGACCGATGCCTGCATTGGAAGCAGAAAAGTTATCGACCGATCTTGAAATTGCTTTCTTATTCATTGTTTTGCCGATCGGCGCGGGCCCTCGCACCCCCTCCCCTCCCCCCCCCCCCGGGAGTGGATCTTGGCTGCTTTTTTGGCGCCTGTTTCGAGCAGGTGGAGCCTCCCCCACAGGACGCACTGCTGCAAACAGCCCCACGAAGCAGAGGTCCGGAGCCAGACTCCCCCCTCCCGCCCCCCGTCCGCCCAATGTCGAAACGCGGAATGAGAAAACTCAGGAGGGAAAAAAGCACACAGACACAATTAATCGTCGATCCCCCAGAAAAGATGGGGTATGGGAAGTGGGGGGGAAGACAGAAACCCAGAAAAAATAAGAAAATGTAGGGAGCCCTGTGATTTGTGTGTGTATTCCTTTGTGTGTCCCTGGGCCCCTTCAAAAACGCCGAGTTGTGCAAGTCGCGACTGGGGAACTCCAGTGTCAAGCAACGATCAGGATCGGGTCGACAAAACAAAAAACAAAACAACAACAACAACAACAACAACAACAACAACAACAACAACAACAACAACAACAACAACAACAACAACAACAACAACAACAAAAACGATCGGGATCGGGTCGAGGCGCGAGGCCGGGACGCCGGCGGCGCCGGCGGGGGCGGCCCGGCGCCCTTCTCCAGAGGCGGGGGGTTGCCAGAGGCAGAGGTGCTCGTGGCCCGAGACGATGCCCTGTCGGATGCCTAGAGATTGACACCAACACCAATATCGGCGGTGTGCTACCGCCGAAGGAAGATGATCGCGATCTCGGTGATGGTGGTAATATTCGGGCTTCCTAGGTGGCCGAAAGATGACCACCAACACCAAAAGCCAGGATCATCTTCCTCCCGTGGAGGCAAGCCCTGGTGTTGGTGTTGGTGCCCATTCCCACGCGTCCAACCCTGGCCCAGATCTCCGGCGATGTGAGCGTGTGCTTCGGCCGGGCGTGGGAGTGACCTCTCGCCGGAGGGACCCCTGGTGCGGGCCCAGCCCCAGACATGCTCGCGTCGTCGAGGTATCAGGGCGGGTTGTTTTGGACCATTTTCGGCCTCGGGGGGGGCCCGCCAGGCCTCAGGACCGTCAGGAAACGATGCAGGATGAGAAACCGGTCCCGGGGAAGACTTCCAGGGACCCCGTATTGAAGAAGTCAGAACGTCGCATGTCTGGGATGGGGTCCCCAGATCGTTGAGCGCGAAGCGGTAGTCGCGGATTTCGCTCCCATGTTTTTGTTGCCACCCCGCGACCCCTTGTAAGCTGCGCGAAAAAAAGGCCACTCTTACCCAGGGTCACTCTTGCGTGTATCAGGGGGGAAAAACACACAGACACACTTTATCCTCGATTCCCCAGAAAATATTGGAAAATATGGGAAGTGGGGGGGAGACAGAAACCCAGAAAATATGGGAAAATATGGGGAATCCTGGGACTTGTGTGTATCTATTTGTGTGTCCCTGGGCCCCTTTCGTGCAGCCGACCCCGGGGGAGGCGTCGGGGCCTTTCCGGGGGGCCGCGGGGGGAGAAAGCCGCACCGTCGGACAGCTGGGCATGTGGCTCTTCGCGCCACCTCGGAGCCCCTGGAGCTCCTCCTCCTCCTCCTCCTGCTCTTGCTCCTCCTCCTCCTCCTCCTCCTCCTCCTCCTCCTCCTCCTCCTCCTCCTCCTCCTGCTCTTGCTCCTCCTCCTCCTCCTTCCTCCTCCCTCCTCCTCCAGCGTAGATGGGGTCGGGGGATCGTGCCGTATCTCAGGCGATCGCAAACATGGATTAAGGGGGCGTGGATTAGCGACGGGTCCTGTTTCCATGGGAGATCGCGGATGTCCGCCGCCGAGCGAGGCGGCACCGGCCGCATTTTGGGGAGGGCACATCTCCCGATCCATGGATTAGGCGACCGCACGCCAAATCCATGGATCGCTAATCCATGTTTGCGCGCCCCCGAGTATCGGCGATGTGTTGGCGAGGCGGCTCGATGTGGAGCCCGATTTTCTCCGCGCCGCCGTCCCCGAAGCGTCGCCGACGTCGCCGATGCATCATTGGTGCACTGGCGATGCATCGGCGACGAGGCGTGGTCCTCGGATCCCATCTGTCAGGAGGGTAAGGTAGACACAGACACAAATAAGAATTGATTTCCAGGGACATCTATGGGGAAATCTTGGAGATGGAGGGGAAGACCACTATCCAGGACGTGTTGGAAGATATGAGGACTCCTGGGACTTGTGCCTATGCATTCGTGCCTCCCCGGGCCCCTTCATCTTCTCGGACCCCGTTTTGGGAGGCCCTCAGCCTGGTGGCAACGCCCGGAGAGGGGAGTGGGTGGTGGACGTTTGCTCCGGCCGCCGGGCGTGCGCCCTGGGGACCACCAAGACGCACTGCAAGGTGATCTTCGAGAGCGAAGAGAAGTATCCCCTGGAGGTCGCCCCGTTATCGGGGAAGCGTCAGATTCGAGTAGGCCGGAACTCGGGTTTGCCGACGTCTTCTGTCGAGCGCGTCCTGGATGTTGACGGTCCAGTTTTCGTGGGATGTTTGCAGCGGGAGGTCGCGTCAAATTTCAGAGTGGGTCTCGTCGTTTTTCATGATGGCCACGTCAGGCCAACCCGAGTTCCCCGTACCCGAGTCTTACCTCTCCCCGACATTAAGCATCATACTCAGAGGAGGAAATGGTATGAATACTGCGACCCTCGCCTCGTTCTCGCCTCTTTGGATATCCTGAGAGACCCTCGTCGCCAACGCTGGATCTTCGAAAACGAAGAACGTCCGCCCCATCAAGCATAATATTCAGAGGGGGACAAGGTACGGATACCGCGACCCTCGCCTCGTTTTTGCCTCCTTGGGTATCCTCAGAGACCTTCGCCGCCAACGCTGCATCTTCGAAAACGAGAAGTACCTCTTGGAGGTCGTTCCATTCAACATAGCACGGTCGGACCGCCGCATAAGATCGAGGTCGGTTGGGGGAGGGTTCCTTGTTGTTCTTCGTGTTTGTTGGATGTGCTTGTGCATCCTGGGGGAGGGTACCCTCGAAGGTTCTTCGGTTTGGCCGGCGGAGAGTCTCCTGTTCTTGGACGATGTTCTTCTGTCCTGAGTCCAGTCATAGTCAGAGAAGTAAAGGAGCGGATACGTTTTCGCTTCTTTGGGCATCCTTGGAGACCCTCGTCGCCATCGCTGGATCTGCCTCGAAAGTCTGGTCAGAACGCACCCCGGGAGAGGTCTTGGGAGTATTGGTGCCTTTAGGTTTTCTCAAACACAGCCCCTAACCCAAATAACACAGTGACTTCGTGACCTAGCGTAGCTCCCGGGTTTGTGTGGACGCACGTAAATACATGGGTGGTTTCGTTCGATACATTTGCAGCAAGACCCCTTTTTTATCCCTGATGTTGTTGGCCATCCTAAGTTGGGTCCCCTCCCAAATGGCCATGGGGTACTTATATTGCTTATCATCGTCAGTGAGGGAATCACTCGAAGAACACACAATTGCATAAAACACGCCGCGCGCCATGGAGGGGAGCCCCAGCGCCAATCCAAGAAGACTCGCGGGCCTGCGAGAAATGTTGTTGATTCAGTTTTGTTCCTGCGGAACCCAGGTATTCGACGACACGTGTTCTCTTTATAGTAGGTAGAGATTTTTTGCAAATTAAATACGGGTGTTTTGTTTGGATTTGGGCTGTGGCCCGTTGTCCGGCCCCAGGGTTGTGAATATCGGATCCCGGACGACAGATTACATTTAGGGATTGAAGGGGTCGGGACATTTTTGGGGCCGCGCACTGAAACAACACGTCGTCGGATGTCTTGGAGCATCAACGACACGCCGCGCGTCGTTGTCGGCTTGGCTTGTGCTGTGTGAGCGCTCTTGTTTGCCAGAGCCCAGAAAATCCCTCAGCAGCAGCGCGCTGATGGGGGAGGTCCCACCAGCGCGGCGCTCACACGGTAGGGGGCCACATGCGAACCCTACCCCTACCCCCCACGATTTCTGAGGGGGAGGGTGGGGTTCACTTCGTCCAGGAGCTCCCGAGCGAAGTGAACCCCACCCTCCCCCTCAGATATCGTGGGGGGTAGGGGTAGGGTTCGCATGTGGCCCCCTACACGGTCCCAGAGATCCGATGCTTTTCGTGTGTTCCGTACGGGTTCCCCGGACATGCCGATCCTTTCCCCGGGGCTCGTTTGTCCTCCTCTCGACGACCCGCTCTGCCCACGGCCAGACGAGGGCCCCCCCGGAGGCCGAAGACCGCGAGCAGTGTGCTTGCCATAATTCGTGGGGTGTTTGGGGCTGTGGCTCTCCGAAGGTCGTCGAGGAGGGCAGGACCGACTTGAGGGCAACGTCAGGGGGGATAGGCTCGGTGGGGGGGGGGGGGGGACGCACGACGCCCTGTCGCCCACTCGTCGCCGACAGGGGCCCGATAGCCCCAGCCCGCTCGGGAAGCTGCGGATTCGCTGTCGGGGTCCTAGATTTAAGTCGGCCCGTCCCTCTACAGGAGGAATATTCAGAAATAGTCAAAAAATAGTCTGGGGATGTTTTGGAGTATTTTCCGGCCATTTTGGATAATTGTTTTAATATTTTTTATTGTTCGTCGAAAATCCCCCTGTATGGGGGACACGCCCGACTTAATCCTAGATCTGTCAGCGATGTATCGCCGATTCCAGGTCGATTTCTCTCCCTCCTGAGCCAGTTCCAGATGGCTTTTGGGCTGCGGCCATTCGGAACGATCTGGGAACCCCTGAACGCCCTCGGCCTGAGTTTGGAGAGCCGCCGAGAGCCAACGAACAGGTCCGAAAACCTCAAACCTCGAACTTATCGTTCCCTGCAGGTTTTCTGGGAGGGCATGATCGACATAGCCCCTGAGATCCGACATCGCAAAGCACATGCAACATCGTGAAACATGACGACCTTGGCCCTAGATCTCCTCTTGCTGCGGCATCCCTCGAGCTGCACCGACTCGTGAGAGCCGCAGCGGGGCCCGAAGCCGAGCGAAAACGCCCGGTGTGCAGAAAGGAGACCGTCCAGATCTCAGGGGCGGTACAGTGCCGTTTTTTATGCATGCTCCGCGTGCGGACCATGTATTAAAAATAAAGGGTTGATTAACAAATGCAAGCATGAGCTGATGCATTACTTTATGCATAAATGAACCATGTATGAAAAATCCTAAATGTTAAAAAATCCGACGTATGAAAAATGACCCTGTACTGCTCGACGCTGTCTCTGCTCTCCGAAAGGTCGTCAGGGAGGGCAGGATCGACATCGTGCCCCTGGCGCAGCTCTGCGCCTGGTCGCCCCGCTGGGAGGGCCTGGACGGCGAGCCGGCGGCGCACCCGAGCCTCAAGGGCGCCACGGTGGCCGGCGGGCTGCCGCACCTGGACCTGGCCTGCACCGCGGCGCCCCAGAAGCTGCAGTTGAAGGACCCCTGAGGGGGAGGCTCCTCCTCCTCCTCCTCCTCCTCCCCTCCTCCTCCTCCTCCTCCTCCTCCTCCTCCTCCTCCTCCTCCTTCCTCCTCCTCCCCTCCTCCTTTCCTCCCCCCTCCTCCTTCTCCTCCTCCCCTCCTCCTCCTCCTCCTCCTCTCCTCCTCCTCCTCCTCCTCCTCCTCCTCCCCTCCTCCTCCTCCTCCTCCTCCTCCTCCTATTTCTTCTCCTCCTCCTCCTCCTCCTCCTCCTCCTCCTCCTCGGGGCTGGCAGACACGTCCAGAGTGTGGAACAAGAGCCAGGACGGATGTGTTCTGTGGTTCGCGGCCTCGGGGGGCCCTCGCCAGGGCCCGGGACCCCCTGGCCTGCCCCGCGGCGCCCCAGAGGTTGACTGCAGTTGGAGGATCTCTCGAGGGGCAAAATGGCATGAGCGTGTTGAAAACAATACAAGAATGAGGTGTTCGTTGTCCCCGGGACAGCCAATAAAACGATTCGGAACAAAAATTGGCCCTGGGGGCATGGTCGGGACATCTGGGCAGAGGACCCCGTGTCGAAACAAGAACAGGACATCGCATGTCTAGGACCATGACCATGATCAAGATGCTGCTGGATCTGGTCGACGCCGATCAAGGTCAGGGTCCATGTCAGACGCCGCTGATTTGCGAGGATTATCCACGAATTGGTGGTGACCAAGATGGACGATGACCAAGATCGACATTGGCAAAGCCGCATTTGATCTTGGACATGGCCGGCGCTTTCTTTGTCTCCAAGGATCTGGCGCCCATCGAGGCCGCGAGGCTCGGGCGACGGGACCTGCAATCAGCCCTCTGGAATACCCTGAGAGATCTGGGCGTCGCAGTGGTTTCACGCCGGGCATTTCGCCCGATCTTCGGCGCCCGGAGCCAGCATTTTTTCGACCAGCCGCAGAACGCCCAGTGGCCGAGAGCGGAGGGCGAGGAGGAGGAGGAGGAGGAGGAGGAGGAGAAGGGGAGGAGGAGAAGGAGGAGGAGGAGGAGGAGGAGGGGGAGGAGGAGGAGGAGGAGGAGGAGGAGGAGGAGGAGGAAGCAAGGAGAACGCCACGGTCGCTGAGCCAGGTATGGGCAACTCAAAGAGGAGGATGCAGGAAGCAAGGAAGGCCGGGCGAGACGCAACGCAGCCCGCCCCCCACCCTACGCTCAAGCTGGCTGCCCTCGCCGGCAACACGGGCGACCACCTGCTGCACCGCCAGGCCGGCCCAGCGCTCCCAGCCAGGGGCCGAGCAGCCGCACCGAAGGCACGCGACCCAGCTGGGCCCTCGGGCGGCGACGCGTGACCTCCAAGCCCGGCCAGCGAATCGCGCGCGCCGCCTCTGCCGCGCGCGGCCGCGACCACGGCGTCGGCCAGGCCCCCGGCGGCGCCGCTGCGGCCGCGGCCACGGCGCCGTCTGCCATCGGAGGCCACGCGCCGCCTCGGAGGCCCAGCCCGGCGGCGCCGCGCGCGGAGGTCCCGCCCGGGCCCGATCCGTCGTGGTTCGCCCTCCGCGCCGCTTGTTCGACGGCAGCGGGCAAAGCTGCTGCAGGACCTCGAGCGCGCGCCAGCCGGACCGCGCGCCCCTGCAGGAGGCCCGCCCGCGTCAGGCGCTCTGCCGCAGCTGCCCCTGCGAGCTGGTCTGCAGCGGCGTTGCCGAGGCTCTTCCCCTCCCAGGCCCCGCGCGCCGCGGCGACGCCCTCGTCGAGGGGGGCCTTGACCCACCGGGCCACTTTGAAGCCCGAGCGGCAGTGGGGTGCGAGGTTTGTTCAACCCGCGGCACCAATGGGCGCCCAGCCCGCTTCTCGGGGGCAGTTTTGCATATTTTTGAGTGGCCTGGGGCCCGTTGTCAGAGACCACAGGCAAACACCAAGGAAAAGCGCCAGGATCTCCAAAACAAATTGTCGGACCCCGAGATCCAGCGTCGCGAAAGAGAACTCGCCACAACTGACGAGTGGATCCCCGGACCCCATCATTCTGAAATTTGTTCGTGCCGGATTCATATGTGAGGGTCTTGCGCAACAAAAGCGAAAAAACAAAACAACAAAAACAAGAAGCGCAACGCCCGGCTCTCAGGGGTGGTCTGGGCGTTCACCAGGAGCCCCAAAATTGTGTGGTGACGGACCGCGCGGTGACTTTCGAATCCCCAACGACCTCACCGCGCCCTCCATCGCCTCACCTTCCTGGGACCTCGGGGGCCCCAGTCGCCCGAGACGTTCTCGGAGAGCGACAGTCCCGAAAGCCGTGCGGTGACCCCGAACCCCCGCTGACCCACCACGCGCTGTGGTCACCACACCGTCTGTCGGGATTGAGAGAACGCCCGACCAGACGAGTCGATTGAAGAAATCCGCACGGGCTCGCTCGACATCGGCATTCGAGTGTGCCGGTGCAGTCTCCAGTCGGTTGCGCTAATCGGCGTGCGTTCCACCAGATACATTCGGTTGTCTTGGGACGTCGATTCGTGATTCCGCCCAGGTGCACTCGGATTGCGGTGCCGTGCGCGCGTGCAGTTCCCTCGGCAGTTCTCGCTACGGTGGGGGCGTTCGTGAAGGAGTGTGCCCAGCAGGGTTCAGATCCTGGCGGGCTCCTTTTCTGCTGAAGTCGGGGGTAATACCCATGGCGAACCCGCCGTTGGAGGTCCACCTGCTTCCAGACCCTGGACACTCCTGATGCAGGGACTCCTTGCCCAGTGCCCTCGCAGGAATGATAGGGCGCTTTCGCCAGAGGGGGCCCCCCAAAGCTCAGCTCTCGCCGCCTCCGGAGGCACTCCGCGTCGCTGTCCTGCCGCGGCTCCGCGCGGGCGCTCGGCGGTGCCTCGCCGCGGCCGTTCCGCCTGTCCGAGGACGAGGAGCTGCTCGCCAACTTCCGGCGGCTCCTGGCCGCCAGCTGCGGCGGGTCGCTGCTGCTCGGCCGTCGGGGGCAACGCCAGGGGGGGGGACACATCGGACGGGCCTGTAGGATCGAGACAAATCCTTTCCGCAGCGTCCCGGATCGCGGAACGCTCTGGAGCGGCCACGGCGCCAGATTCTTCCCCTAACCTTGTCTCGATTCTGCCTCCGCCTTAACGCAGGGCTTCTTTCGACCCTTCCGGCGCTCGATGCGATTCGAGTATTCCGTTCTGGATTTCTCAACGGAGGCCTCACCAGCCTGCCGATTCCCGACGATTCGACGTCTCCCGATTTGGCTGCCGATTTCCGCAGACCCGATTGATTTCGTTCGCCGATCCAACTTGACTATCGGGTCGATTCTGGACCCTCCTGGGGATAGGGGACAGGGCGGGATGCATCTGGTAGGGGCTCAGGTCTCTGGGGGTCCATGTCGTGACAAAAATTCATGGCGGGGGGCTGGGTTCAAGTGTTTCGCCTGCTTTCCTGCCTCGGGGTGCGTTGCAGCAGCTGCGCCTTGCCTAGGGGCGCCAGTGGTGCCCAGATCCTTCCGAACGGTCGAAAACCAGACGATGAGGATATAATTGGCAGGGATAGGCTCAGAGGGGAACGCATCACCCCAGACTCCCCCGGTTCATCGGCGCCACGGGCCCGATAGCCCACCCCGTCCAGGAGCATTTGGACTCGCGATCGGGGGCCTGTCGCCGGTGCATCGGCGATGCATCGCGACGAGTCCAGCTCGGAGGGGGAGGAGGAGGAGGAGGAGGAGGAGGAGGAGGAGGAGGAGGAGGAGGAGGAGGAGGAGGGAGGAGGAGGAGGAGGAGGAGGAGGAGGAGAGGAGGAGGAGGAGGAGGGAGGAGGAGGAGGAGGAGGAGGAGGAGGAGAGGAGGAGGAGGAGGAGGGGGAGGAGGGGGAGGAGGAGGAGGAGGAGGAGGGAGGAGGAGGAGGAGGAGGAGGAGGAGGGGGGAGGAGGAGGAGGAGGGGGGTGGAGGAGGAGGAGGAGGAGGGAGGAGGGGAGGAGGAGGAAGGAGAGGAGGAGGAGGAGGAGGAGGAGGAGGAGGAGAGGAGGAGGAGAGAGGAGGAGAGGAGGAGGAGGAGGAGGAGGAGGAGGAGGAGGAGGAGGAGGAGGAGGAGGAGGAGGAGGAGGAGGAGGAGGAGGAGGAGGAGGAGGAGGAGGAGGAGGAGGCGGGGAGGAGGAGGAGGAGGAGGAGGAGGAGGAGAGGAGGAGGAGGAGGAGGAGGAGGAGGAGGAGGAGGAGGGAGGAGGAGGAGGAGGAGGAGGAGGAGGAGGAGAGAGGAGGAGGAGGAGGAGGAGGGGGAGGAGGAGGAGGAGGGGGGGGGGAGGAGGAGGAGGAGGAGGAGGAGGAGGAGGAGGAGGAGGAGGAGGAGAGGAGGAGGAGGAGGAGGAGGAGGAGGTCCCCTCTCTCAGGCTGGTGCACCGTGCTGGACAGCAGGCGCGCGGGCCGCGTCGCCTTCCAGGACATGGTGCCGCCGGGCGGGGGGGTCCGATGAGACAAGGCCTCCGACAACGTAATTCAAGCAGTGGCGAAGCGTCCTGGCTCGCCTATAGGCCCACCAAAGAATGTTCTAAGAACTGTTTGTGGTTCGCACGAAATGTTCTTAGAACATTTCTGGCTGGAGCTATTTTGTTTAAATACATCGGGCTTATGTTCTAAGCACATTGTTATAAGGAAATTTGGGGATTCGAAGAACATTTCGTGGTAGGCCTATAGGAATGCCGGGACGGTCGGTCCCTGCTCAAGTGGTATCTTCAATTCTGGCTTGGGTTGTTGCTCTTCGGTTTCGGGCTCCGGGTGCCGTTTCCAGGCGGGCCCTCAGAAAGTGCGTGTTTTTGTTACCATTTGGGCCATATGCGCGCTTTCTGCTCCCTACCCTCCCCCCCCCCCCAATAATGTAACGCTTCTCCCTTCAGTGCGTCTCTGGCACTACTGCAATGCGTCCGTCAACACCCTGGGGCGCGTGCGCTACGTTATGCCCCCTCCCCCCTCCTCTCCATAACGCCGGTTATTTCCGCGATAAGAAAATACGCTGAAATCAGTAGGGGATCGACTACAGAATTGATTCACCCCAGAATTGATTTTCTCGTCGAGTCATCCGTAGCATGTTCTTAGATCTACAGACAATTTACAATTTTGTTCATTGGTTCGACGAACGAATCAATGTTGGGGTGCATCAGCTCTGTAGTCGATTCCCTACTCGAAGAAAGGAATCCTGGCCGAATACCTACACCCTGGGGAAGGGGTCGGGACTTCTGCGGCAGCGGGTTTTGAAATTTCACATCGTCGGATGCTTGGGAAGTGGCGTGACGACTGGGGGGGATGGCTTGTCTGTAGCCTTGGGATATAAGATCTAAGATAGCATGGCCCCCTCTTCTTTGGTCCTTCTTCTTTTCATTGTTACGCGGTCGAGCATCTGATTCGGAAACCTCCTCCCAAAGAGCTGGGTCAGCGTTTCTTGACTTATTTGCGGGGCAGCTGGCCCAGTTTCTTGAGCACGTTCGCCCCTCCAGCGTCAAAGGCAGACATTCGCCCAGGCTTCTTCAAAGAATATGTCGGGAGAGCTGGCCCAGATGTTGTAAATGACAGTGTTCTTGATAATCTGTTCGATTGCACTTAACACTATTTTCGTTACTATTATTGCGGCACGCCCTCTAGTTCTCCGCACACATGCCCCCACCGATACCCGACGTCGCGAAGAAGTTGCTACATGTCAGGAGAAAGAAAAGCACGACCAGGGCCCTAGACCCTAGACCCCATCTCTCTGCAGCATCTCTCGAGCCAGGTCGACCTGTGAGGGCCAGGGTGCCCGAACTTGGGCTGAAAACGCCCCGTGTCGAAAGATTGCAGCGCCCAGATCTCAGGGTCGGGCCGGTGTGTGCTACCCCCCCTGAGGATCAACAGCTCGACCGACGGATGTCCGACCACCATTCTCCACGTTTCCCACCTCCCACTCAGGAGATAGTGCGTCCTTCCCAGATGGAGGTTCGGCCTGGAGTGTTCGGTCCGTCAGGTTCCCCCCCTCTTTCCTGCGACCCCTTTTGTCTGAGGGGTAGCGGTACTGGGGATAGTCTCGGGGGAAGATGCATCGGCCTCCATTCGCCCAGTCATCGCTGATATTGGCCCGGAAGCTTAACCCAGTCCAGGAGCGTCCCAATTCGCCATCGGAGGCCTATCGCCGACCTATCGGCGATGTGTCGCCGACTCCAGCTAGATGTTCCCCCCTAAGCCAGTCCCCCCCCCTAGCGTATATCGAAGACGCCTGCGGCGAATCACCGCCGCCCCCTGCCTTTGTGGAAGCGCCTATGTGGCCGAACGTTGAGGCCAGACCTGCCAAGCTATCGGACCATGTGTTCCCCGAATCGGTTTGGAAAGCCTTCGGGGAACACGTGGGCATCTTGAACGTCATCTTGGCCGCCTGGAGGCCATTTTGACCCTTTCGTGCCTTCTTGGAGGACGTCTTGGAGGGCTCGTGGGCCGTCTTGGAGGCCATCTTGAGCGTCTTGGAGGCCTCTTGGGCCGTCTTGGGGGCCTCTTAGGGGCATCTTGGGGCCGTCTTGGGCGCCTCTTGGGCCGTTCTGGGGCCATCTTGGAGGCCCCTTGGGCGATCCCTGGGCGATCTTTGGGAGCTCTTGGGCCGTAGCGTCGGAAGGCCGCAACGAAGCAAATGCCAAAATCCTTCAAAAACCTACGGGAAATCACTCTTTTGGGCTTTTTCTGGCCTCCCTGGAGGCCCTCTTGGAGGCCTCTTGGGCCGTCTTGGGCCAGCTGCGAGCCACCTTCGGCCATCTTGGTGGGCTCCTGGCCCGTCCGACGCCGTCGGAAGCCGCTTCGGGGGCCTTTCTGGGCCGACTTGGGGCCCTCTTGGGGTGCTCCAGGGCCGTCTTGGAGGCCATCTTGGGCGTATTGGAGGCCTCTTGGGCCGTCTTCGGGCCCTCTTGGGGCGGTCTTGGGGGCGTCTGGGGCCGTCATGGGGCCATGTACCTCGTAGAGCTCTTCGTTATCGATGAGCTAGAGGAATTCCGGCGCGGGGTGGAGCAAGTTGGTCGACCCGACGTTCAGAGACAATGTGATGACCTGGGGTCGGTTTTCTTAAGATTTGAAAGATATTTGACCATTTATCTTGAGAAACCAGATGTTTCGCACCTGTAGTGGGTTATTTCGCGTTTGCCAGTCAAATTCTCAGGTCCGTAGGTGCAGTATTACTATCAAAACACTTGGAGGAACCGACGTTGGATAAAAACAGAAAAACGTGATTTTTCGAGTTTTGTGTTTCTCGCTCCAGAAGCTTTCTTCATGTGTTCCGACGATCGCCGTGCGAGAAAAGAGCTCTACGAGGTTCCCGGCGGTAACCTGGTTGACGGTTTACCGCCGGTTCCAAGTTGGAGGCCTCTTGGGCGATCTTGGGAGCCTCTTGGGCCGTCTTGGGCCGTCGGAAAGCCGAGAAGGCGCAAATGCCAAAATCCGTCAAACAACCTAAAGAGAATCAATGATTTTGGCCTCGTCAGGCCTTCCTGGAGGACCTCTTGGAGGCCTCTGGGCCGTTTGGGAGACCTCTTGCGGGCCATCTGTTCCGTCTTAGATTATCTTGAGGCCATCTTGGGCAATCTTGGGTACATCTTGGGGCCATCTCAGCCGTCTTTTAGGCCATCTTGGCCGTCTTGGAGCAACTTGGAGGCCATCCTGAGACATCTTGGCCGTCTTGGAGGCCATCTTGGGGCAGCAAAGGCGACAACAGGTGGGTTTCCCGGGTGGCCAGCGGGACGTGACGAAGCCCCAGGGGGAGTTCTTTTGGAAAAAGAACCAATACCCAAAGCGACATCATTCGGCACGCCAGGCACCCCCTTGACAAATCAAAAGGGGGCGGCGGATCCAGCTGCCTGCGGCAAGTCCCGCCACCGTGCCAGCCCAGCATATTGGGTGGCGCCTGTTCGAGGGTTGGAGGGCCGTGATGAGCATGAGGACAAGGATGATGATGCTGATGATGATGATGCTGATGCTGATGATGGTGATGATGATGATGACGATGATGATGATGGTGATGATGATGATGATGATGATGATGTTGCTGATGATGATGATACGAAATGATTATGATGCTGCTGAGGATGATGGCGATGATGATAATGGTGGTGGTGATGATGCTACTGTAGGTGATGCCCATGGTGGTGATGATGCGGTGGATGATGGTGATAATGATGTGGGAGACGAGGATAAGGATGAACATGATTTTTGTGATGATGGTGCTGACGATGGTGATGGTGATGCGGAGAAGGAGGAAGAGGAGGAGGAGGAGGACGAGGAGGGAGAAGAAGAAGAGGACCGCCGTCACATGTCTTCATGATTTGAGGAGCTCTGATGGAACTCGTATTGGCAGTCTTGGGGCTGTCTTGGCCTCCCGTGATGCAGTCGTGGGGGTCCCTTGGGATCCTCTTGGGCCGCCTTGGTGCCCTCTTATGCTGTCTTGGGGCCCTCTCCGTATGGGTGTCTAGGGTCCGTCGTGAGGCCGCCTTGGACCGTCGAAAGGCCTTCGAAGGCCGTCTTGGGTCCCGCAGGAGACCTTCCTGGGTCGTCTTGGGGCAGTCTTGGATGCCCCTTGGGCCATCGTGGGGTCCGGGCCGTCTTGGGGCCCGCTGTGGGGCCTCTTTTGGGCAGTCTTAGGGCCATCGTAGAGGCTTCTATGGCCGTATTGAGCTGGCAAACACCCGTAAAGGCGAACCCCGTTAAACAACACATGAGCAATTCATGATGTTGACTTCTTCGGACCTTGTTCGAGGTCATCTCGTGGCCCTTTCGGGCCTTCTTGGAGGCATCTCGGGCAGTTTGAGGACACATTGGGCCGCCTAGGGGCCTTATTGGGCAGTCTTCAATGCATATTGGGCCATCTTGGTGTCCTTGATTGCCCGCATAGGCCACCTTGGAAGCTCGGGACGCGGATCCAGCTTATTCAACGAATGGTCTTGACGTTGGGAACGCGGATCCATAGTTTATGACAGGGATCGTGGGCTCGGGAGGGTGGGGTGGTGCATGCGGGAAACGCGTGTAGGGAGGGGGTGTCCCTCATTAGAATACAGGAACCCTACCAGGCAGCCCTCCGAATTCTTCTACGCCTCAACGTGCACAAGGCGCGGTGGCGTTTACATACATATCGATATAGTTTCATACACACATATGTGTATATATACACTATATATATATATATCCAGCGTGAGGGGGCTGAACCGAACGGTCGTTCACTGTCCCTGGGTGCGTGGCTGAAGTGGAATTCCGCGATGCGGATTATTGTTGTTGTTGATGTTGTTGTAGTTGTTGTTCATGTTGTTGTTGGTAGCGTTGTTGTTGTTGTTGTTGTTGTTGTTGTTGTTGTTGTTGTTGTTGTTGTTGTTGTTGTTGTTGTTGTTGTTGTTGTTGTTGTTGTTGTTGTTGGTGTTGTTGGTGTTGTTGGTGGTGGTGGTGGTGGTGGTGTTG